GCCTATAGATATTTCTATGTGTAAACTCACACAAATTAAAAAAAAATAAATTCAAGATGTCATAACTTGGTTTTGCCTGAAACTAGGCAAGCTTGAAATGTTATTTTAGTAAAAAGTGGATGTTTCATGGCTACTGATAGAAATGAGCAATCTTAGAAACTGAGACATCTAAAGAATACCAAAGGAGGGCCTGGATGTTCAGTTGTTGCTGTGCATCACAGTATCCAAGGAACGGAAGTTTAATAAGGGGCAGGGTGAAACTAGACCCTTCCCGCTCTAAAGGGGCACTTTAGCAGCTGTGCTTGTGTAGCAAGCTATTTCTGCCAGCAAGGTTCCAGGAAATGTGTTGGGAGATTTCTAAAATCATTTGGCATGTCGGGTTTTTTTAAGGTTTACATCAAGGGCCAGTGTGTGCGTGTGTGTGCGCGCGCGCAGAGACAGTGAATAATTTAGTGTACTTCAACCATTTTAAGCCTGCATACATTTTGGCAGCTTTCACAGAAAGCTCTGAAAGAGAAGGCGTTCTGGAGCTGCTGCCACAGCAGGCATTTCAATGCTGTAGCAATGTCAAATAGTTGCCTTGATCCTCCCTTTTGTTTCCACTGGCTGTTCTCCCTCCGCCCCCCCCCCCCCCCCCCCCGCTCTCCCCACCCCCCTCTTTTTTTGGGTGGTTGTTTTCATTTCGTTTTATTTTATTTTTGACCAAACATGGTGTGCACAGCAACAGCACAAAAGGCAACAGATCAAAAAGGCTCCCGAGGTATCAGTGGCTTTATTTGTAAGGAAATGTCAGTGAGCATACCATGATGGACTGCGGGAGGCAACCCTTTTGCCAGATAACCTGCTGACCATAGAAAAGTGATTTGTCTTGTCCTCGGGACTGTCATTTACCTGGCACTTGCAGGAGCAATCTCCAAACATTTCTGGCCCACCCGGAAAAATCTGAGAAATATGAACTTATTGAAGCCCACAGCAGCAGGCAAGCATTTTGGGCTGGAGCTGGGGGCCTATTCAGGGTTGGGATTCAATTTTTTTAACAACTGGCTCTGTGGGCGTGGCTTAGTTGGTGGGCATGGCTTGGTAATGTGACTGGCTGGGCATGGCCAACTCAACATCACTGACATCGAGGTACGCATCTCCTCGCCTGGCCTCTCTTGGCTGTGGGGATGCCGCAACAGTTGTAAATGTGAAAAATGGTTATAAGTCACTTTTTTCAGTGCCATTGTAACTTTGAATGGTCACTCCACACAAGCAAAGTACCAGCAAAGGAGAGGAAAAAAGAGACGTTCCTGAGACAGGAAGTCTAGTCCTGCCAAGAATATAATAAGGGTTAACGGAGAGGCAGTTTCTGTAAGCAGCACTAGAATGTTTCCTTCCTGCCTACTTTACAGGATTAGGCCAGTAATTTCTTCTAACAACTGTTTCTCTGAACTGCTTAGAATGTTAACAACCGGTTCTAGTGAATAGGTGCGAACCTGTAGAATCCCACCCCTGGGCATATTTGGAATTTCCAAGAACAAATTTAAGCATTTATCTGTCGCCCAACTCAAACCATGTGACTCTTCAGTTATGTACTCAAAGAAGATTAAACCATAATCAATATAAAGGTAACATAACTATTACTGTAAGTATATCTGTATCCTGCTTTTTATTTTATACAGTTCAAGGCATTGTAGTCACTGCTCCCTCCTATTTACCCCACAACAACCTGCCTATGATATGGGTTGAGCTGAGAGAGAGGTACTGGTCCAAACTCACCCAGCTGGCTTTCATGCCTAAGGGAGGATTAGAGTCAGAGGTGGTATTCAGCAGGTTTTGACCAGTTCTGGAGAACCGGTAGCAGAAATTTTGAGTAGTTTGGAGAACCGGCAAATACCACCTCTGACTGGCCCTGCCTATCTATTCTCTGCCTCCTGAGTCCCAGCTAGGTCTTTCTTTGTTGCCCTGCACAGGAGAACAGAGCTGGAAAGCAGGTTAGCGGGGTGGGGAGGAATGGGATTTTGCAGTAACCTTCCCCTAGGAGTGTGGAGGGAATAGAGATTTTGCTTCCCCTGCCACGCCCACCAAGCCAGGCCCACAGAACTGGTAGTAAAAAATTTTTGAACCCCACCACTGACTTGAGTTCAGGGCTTCCTAGACGGTGCAGCTGTAAAACGAGTGACAAGGAGAAGAGCCATTTTTCTCCAAATGACTGGTGCTTTGTTTTCCAGCAAGACCATTTCCTATTGGTTTGTTTTTAATTATATGCTTTTTAAAAAAATGGATAGGTGTCATGGGGCACATCGCTGATGGTGGCCCTCTCAAGAGAACCAGTTGGGGAAGCCCTGTAAAAGTAGACAGACATGAAATATTTCTTTTAAGTGGACTTTAAAAAGAAACTTGACTTACTCAGCAATGTTTTTGGTTTATCTGTCTACTTAAAAAAAATGGCGCCCCTCGAAACAGTTTTCCCCAGATAATTTGCAGAAATAGTTTTTAATGTTTTAAAAAACCTATTGTGATTAACATTAAAATAAACAAGATATATTGATAATACCTATATCACAATGGGGAAAGGTTACAGGAGGTCTTGTTCAGATTCTTGGATATGTCCTATGCAGAAAGTGATGATGAATTGGGGCCTTTTTGAGAAGGTCACTTTGTCTTCCAGCTGAGACCTGATGATCTCAGATCTACAAAATTAAATACTTTTGATCGAAGTATAATCTACTTTTAAAATGTTCTAGTTGTTGTTATTTTCTTCGCAAAGTCTAGTTCAGATTTACCTTTGCTTCTGAGATTTTTTGTTTTATTTTACCAAGCTAGCCTACAGCCTGGGATTTCCTGGGTGTCTCCCATTTAAGTATTCATCTGCTCTCACCCTGTTTAATTTTCCTGAGTTGCTTTACATCCTGGTTGTTCAAGAGGTTCTTTAATTGAAAGTGATGAATTCACTTAGTTACATAAAGCTTTTACAAAAAGTATAAATGATGGCTGCTTTGTATGAAAATGTATTTTACTTACTTAGAGTAGTACCTACACTAATCTAGGAAGTACTTAGGAATCTTTAAAGTTTGATGGGAAACAGCCCTACCCACTTGCCTTCTGGTAAATGGGAATTTTGTCACCAACCATGCTTACTATATATAGTAGCCATTTTGAGCCTGAGCAACCATTTTTCATGATAGCCATTTTGCCAGAGTGCCCTTGGAATGTATCCAAAATGTGAAATGTGCCCTTCCTGATTTGCAAAATGAATTGGACAAAATCAAACAAATGTTTTTTCTAATATTTTGAAAGACTTGGAGCTGAAGAAGAGCACATTAAGTTCATTGGATTATAGCCAAGAACATTTGATGGCTGTATGTTTAAACCTGCAGTATATTTATATGTTTTTCTTTGAACATTTTGTTTTGGGAAGATGACAGAAAGGCATTATCTCTGCCCTTTTTCCAGCAGAAATCTCTCTCAAGTTTTCCATAAGAATTGCACCCTTTCATCATTCTTTTTCCCCCACAAGGTGTCACTCTCAGACCATCTGTGTTTGTGTGTGTGTGTGTGTGTGTGTGATTGATTGATTGATTGATTGATTGAGTCATGGCAGTTTCCACATATTTATCATGGAGTTTTCTATTCCCATCTCATTGCTTGTTCCTAATTAGTTTCATGATAAAATATAGAAAGCAAAAACCTTCATATTAATTTTATATATAAACTTTTGCTCATCTATTGTAGCAAATTTCCTGGCTATGGATTGTACTTAACTATAAATCCATTTGAATTTCTTACAGAAATCTGTTGAATCAAGCAGTTTAGGTAAACATACTTTCTTCTTACCATAGCGAAATCAATAGTGTGCATACCATACATAAAGTATATAGTCTCTTTCAAATATAAAAACAGTGTTGGTATCTCCAAATTGACTACAAAGTTCTGTACTGTTTAATGCTGGATTTACTAGTCGAAGCTGATGTTAGGTCTTCCAATAATCTAGGTTTTTTGGCTTTAGATGGTCAAAAGAAAAGGGTTTATTTATAAGACATTTTCTTGGTTTCTCTGGGCATGATCCAATGAGAAATCTTTCCAGGTCAGATTTTCTGCTTTCCTCCAAGTTTCCTCTTGTATTTTCCAAGCATTGTTTGTCCTAGGTTTGTTAGTTATGGTTCCTTGTTCTCCCCCCACCCCATTTTTTCCTTTTCCTTTCCCTTCCTTCCTTCCTTATTTACTTACTTACTTATCTTTTATCTGTCTAATATAACCCTCCCAACTATCCTCCCAAACTCCTAGAACTAGTTGTTCTAATATTTTGCTGATTAAAATAAACACATTCTGATATTCTCTCACTTTCCTTGCCTGCTATCTTCTTTAAAAACTTATTCTGCATTTCATATCTTGAATTACTTTTTTCTACATTAGCTTTTACTGCTTTCCAAAAGGTGGTGTTTCTTTTTTCTTTTTTAAGTAGAACATCTTTAAGTAAAAATAATTTTAATTTCACTACCGTTGAGATGCATTGATTCCTCAGTATAGTATTTATATCTAGAAGATGGCAGGGGGATGGTGGATTCTGAAAAACTCTAGGGCAGGGGTGTCAAACTTGTGTCATCATGGCATCGTCACATGATGTATCAGTATTTTATTACCCTTTGCTAAACCACGCGTGGGCAGCACATGACACATCTGGCTCACGGCCCGTGAGTTTGACAGTTCTGTTCTAGGGCATGTATATGAATCTCTCAAACAACTTTCGGAATAATGAAAAAGATTGCTGTATTTTATTGAGGAAATACTAGCAACTACTACTAATAAATCAGGGAAAAGATAGATAGATAGATAGATAGATAGATAGATAGATAGATAGATAGA